GCAGGATAGCAGCAAGGTCAGGGCTGTGTGGACCCACTGGCAGAGCCAATGCAGTGCTCTCACTGATGCACCCACACTGCCCTTGTACTGCTGTGCCCCCTGCCTGCCCCTTCCAGCTGATGGTTCCACGCCACAACAGCTGCCACTGCATTAAGGATAGAAAAAAATGAAACAGCAGCTCAATTTCTTTATAAGTGTGGACAGGAAAGATGCAACAGGAGGGATGCGTGGTTCCTTGGGCATTTAGATGATGTGTTCGAGATGTCCCTATTTTTATGATTCATTGCCATGTATTTCCAGATGCAGAAACTTCTAATTCATTTCATGCAGGACAAGTCCTTTCCCTACAGGGCTTTGGTGTGGGGTTTTTGGTTGTTGTTTTTTTGCCTTCTCTGCATCAGACATACTATCGCTGTCTCCTTAGCACTGCTGTCTGTTCACATGGGGACCTGATTGAGTCCCAAGTACATATATTCCAACGTACGTAGTTCAAACTGTTTAATCTCACTGATTTATATGCACTTCTTGAAAGGAAAGCACCACCAAGATCATGAAATCTCATTGCTTCAGTTACAAGATAAGAAGAAAATGTTTGTCCTGATCTGTTCTCAAAACTGGATTTTATCTGTCCATTTGAAGATACTCTTTCTCCTGCAGCAGTGACTATTCTTTTTGTCCAACCTTTTAATGATGAGTTTGTGTTTGTAATTTTATTTTCAAAACTAAAATAATTTCAATTGGTGGTAACATCATACTATTTAATGTTTAATGGCTTCCCACTGGAATGAAAGGATGGGAGTCTACCAACCACATTTATTGCTATCCCCTAGAGAAGCCAGAATAATTTAAAGTAATGAATTAAGCAAATTCCCTAGGAATCTTATCCTTCAATAAGGAGGATTAATTTAGGTATTAACATGTAACAGTATCTACAATCTTTGCTTGTGGTGTAGATTAGAGCATGTTGTGCCCAACACGATTAGTGCAGATCAAGCAGGTTTCATTACTCCTGGAATTATTTAATTATCTCAGTACTTTCATTATGAAAATAAATGAGTTTTATTTATTTATAATTTCTTTACTCCTGCCAAAAACACATGGGGCACGATTCAGGCAGATTAAGCATATTTAAACCTGTTGATAACAATGGGAATGGTGTAAGCACATGAATTAGCTTCCCACTGAAATCATGGGAATTAAAGTGCTTAATTTTGGCTGGATGGGCAATTGTGTTCTACCTCAGAAGGGCTAGCCCCAAAATGCAGATTTGTTTTGCCTAAGCACATGAAGCAATTCTACAAATGGAATAATCCCATAAACCACATTTATTTCAGGTTGCTGTGGTGGCAAAACTGCACATAGCGTTTGTAATGGGTTTAGGGGTTGCTCGTGCGTAAGTTGCCGCCACTCCTGGCTAGGTTACCTGGTTGAACCCTTTCCAACCGGACAGCCTCTAGCTCCGTGGCTGTCTCAGTCGCTGGCAGAATCCGTCAGTGGGCGTTTCTTAAACTTCTTCCAGCACAAAAGTTCTTTGACGCCTAGTCTCCGCCTAGTCTCCCTGCGCGGAAGCCTTCTGCGCAGGGAGGGTGTGGGCAGCGGAGGACCCGTACTCTCTCCGCTGGTCTCCGGCGAGGAGTCTTGGAGCCTCCTCTCCGATTCCCCCATCTGCCCCCCTTCTCTACTGGTGTTACGCTGATTTCCTTCCCCAGCGGACGGGCTGCCTCTCTCCCTACTGGGACCCTCTCTGGCATCCCTTTGGAGCCTTCCCTCCGCCTCTAGCTCCGATGGCAGTTCCCTGACAGCGTTCCAGGGACATTATTCAGGTCTGCATGTTATTCCAGTCATCTAGTGGTAGAATCATAATAGTCTGTGAGTCACTCAAGATATGTCTGCAAGCAGTGGAGGGTGGCCTATTAGGGCAAACAGGGAACTGCTCCATTGACCTCAGAGGGCTGTCAGCCAGCCCTCACCTGCCTGCCGTCTTACTTACGATTGGTCCAGGGGTGGCTTCCTCAGGCAGTTTAAAGCAAATGTCCCTCCAGAGAATCCTGGGAACTGTAGCATATTAAGGGTGCTGGTAGTTGTATCTCTGTAATGAGTAAACTACAGTTCTCTGGATTCCGTATACAAAGCATAACAATGACCATAAAAAAGACAGGCCTGTTGAACATATAATATAAAGTGCAGAATAGAAAATAATAATATGAATGCAGAAATATAGGACATCCTCTTGCCCCACTGCATCTAAGAATACTGTAAGACCTAGTTCTTGAGCTGTGTTTGTAAGCTCTTTCATGGGAAATGTTTGACTTCTTGTAGTCCCCTTGTGCAGCCTTTCTGGACTACTGCAGTGTACTCTGTGTGAGGCTGCCCTTGAAGATGGTCTGGAAGCTGCAGCTTGTGGTGAATTAATGCTGCTAGGTTGGTGAATAGAGCAGGACTCTGCATCACTGGTCCTGAAAGTGCTGCACTGGCTGCTAGTGAGCTACTGGGCCCTATTTAAGGTGGTAGGACTAGTATACAGTTATATAATGGTTTTGGACATAAGTACCTAAACTAATATATCAACCACCTCAGATCTTTTGGTTGGCAGGGAATGCCTTGGTGGTGGCCCCATTGGGTGTTGCTTGGTTGGTCCTGACTAACAACAGGACCTTATTGATCACATGTTCTCTCTGGCGAGGTGGATCTGTCACTCTCATGATTAATATTCAGCAGACTTTAAAATATTTCTGTTCATCCAGACATTTGATGGCTGAAATACAACACTCCTGGTAACCTAGAAATTGATAGATGTGAGGATATTTGATTGTTTTAAAATGTGTGTGTGTTTTAAAGCGCTGTTTCACTGATTTGTTTTTTGTAGCTACTTTGGGAGCAAGTTTGTGTGTGTGATTTAATAAATACAATCTGAACAAATACAATACAGAAGATGCTACAAACCACTTCTACATGGTGCTGCCATAACATTTATTAGCTTCCCAACATGTGTGACTATAAAATTATGTGAAGTGCCTTCATGCTAGTTCCAATAGCCGGCAAGAATGAATGGCAGGGAGGCTCTCTATGTCATTTGACGGACACATGGCATAATAAAGTTTAGGTGTATCTACTACATAAATGAATTAAGGATTGAATAGAGATGGATAAATCTTCCAGTTACAGTTTCTTGTGAGTTTCTAATTTTCCCAACCTAAGTTTATTCCATTCCATTTTCACATCATTTTTTTCTGTTAAAATCAAAGTCCGCATGTTTGCAGTTTAGTGCACATTTCTCCAAATATATTTCTATTTCTATGTGTTTGCCTAATATAATCCATTTTGCAAGCACATTCCCACTAATATAATGTAGTTTTTACATTGATTTTTATTAAGCTATTCACTCTTGTTCACATTTTGTGGTAGGAAAACTACATCAAAAAAATCCAGAGAATTGCAATTTTTGAAAGATGGATGTGTTCTGGTTTGAAAAGTTTGGAATAGGTAGGTGTGCATAGTTCATTTATTTGGTTTGAAAAGTTTGGCATAGGTAGGCGTGCATAGTTGAAGAGTTTTCTGGACCATGGTGTAAAAGTAGGGGGGAGAATGTCCCAAGCTTCAAACATCCTTTGATACTATACAAAATGCAATGGAGTTCTGACTTTTTCCATCTATTGATTCCAATGGGGTACTTCAAGTATAAAATTTTATTCATTTGGCCTAGATAATATAATTTGAAAAATCCAAAGACAGATTTACATAATGGATGAAAAGGGAAATATTCGCATAGGCACATGCACACTCAAAGAAGCATAAAGGAGTGTTGGGCTAACACACGTTATTGTAAAATTTCACTTGTAAGGTAACTTTTAACTTAAGAGTTCTTTGTTAACAGTTTCCCACAGTGTATCAGTCTCTGTCCCTGCTGTGCTGATCTGCAACTGCCTTCTCTCTCTCTCTTTATAAATCTTTTTCCCCCCTGTCTGCTTCCAAAATGTTATCTTAGCTAGGATTAATAAAGATATACTGGAGAGAGTCTTATCTTTTATAAGAATTATGTTTATAATAGAAAGCTTTAATCTTAGGAGAGAGATGAAGGCAAAGGGAGGCAAGAAAGACAAATTAAAAGTCTCTGACAATGGCAAAAAAGACTGTCCCCTTTAATCAAAAGTCTACCGCAAAGGTTCGGGGGTGATTCAAATATGACCCCCAAACATTCTACTAGTGCGTATGTCTGCTGAAAAATAAAGAGGAAGATTGTGGAGAGACCATAATTTTGTGAGGTAAAGTTATATTGTAACAATGTTTTAAAGTTAAATCATTGTTACCAAAAAACTTTACCTTACACTGACTGGGATGTAACTATAAATAGAATAAACTCCTTCTGTTTTACCCCTGGCTAGAACCAGGGACAAACATACAAAGTATACATGTTCTGCTATCTGTTACAGGTACCTAATATGGTGCCCTCCAGATGTTATGAACCACAACTTCCATAATTGTTGTCCATTGGCTATGGCGGTACTTCTATGTTGTACTTCTTTGTAAGAATCTCTGGTCAATTTTGTCCCAGCTCCCATATTTGTAAAAGAATAAGAGGTAAACAAAAGTGTTTGAAATAATGAGTGCCTGTAGCAGTATAAAAGAATGCTCTTTTTGTATATTCAGACAGTCCCGGGTATTGTATACATTCATGTGAACAAATGCAATGCCTGAACTGGTGATGAATACAGTATTTGCAGTCTTTTCTATAAATGTGGTAGGTAGAAAAACAGTGGCATCCAAGGTATTGCTGTGAACTTTATACAATGTTTTCTTGTTCACACATTACATTTGCTAACATGCCTGAGAACAACCAAGACACTCACTTGTACAAAGGGAAACTATTGTATTCTTTTTTCCAGCTTTTTGAACATTTCCATTTCCTACATTCACTATTAGGTGACGATGAGAAATTATAAAAAAGTATGAAATCTCAAATGAGAACATATCAGAAATTTAATGATAAAACTGCATTTATCCCTTACATTATTAAAAACAAACTTTTAAGTTGCAGGTGACTCAGCTTCCCATGACAATGCCTGGACTCATATTGGCTGTTCTCTTGTGACCTTTTGCTGTGAATGCATATTACTCACTTTCCAGTTCCTTCTTGGATAAGGTTCAAGTCTTTCCCTGAGTTATTGGCTAACCTCTTGTTTCACGGTACCCTGCTACCTCTTTGTGGCCCTCCAGTTGTGGACTTCCATCAGGCCCAGTCCAGCAACATTTGGCAAATGTTCCCCATCCAGCAAATGTTCCCCAGCCCTGCATTAGAGTCCCTTTATAGGCCAGGGATCTCATTAGTAAGGTACAAAGGTGCAGGAACTGGAGCATTGCAAAGATCCATCTTAGTCCTAGCTCCGTTCTTTAGGAAGACAACACACATTTCCTGCAAATGGGAGGGAAGAGAAAGACATTGGCATGAACTTCAGATGCAAATTAGCTAGACATGCTGGCTGGGATTGATGAGAACTATAGTCCAAAACACCTAGAGGGCAGAAGATTGGGGGAAGACTATTTAAGATCTTGTCATCTCTCCACTGTCCTTTCAATGCTATGCTAGCCAAAGCTTTTCACTAAGCTGCATCTGGTAATGGGGCTTGTTTCTGGTAGATTTTTATTGGGCAATATCCAACTAAATCATGTACACTGATCTGCCTAACATTGGGGGGGAAAACCCAATTTTAGTCAATATTTTTTTACTTTGCTTTTGTGGTCACAGAGCAAGTCACAAGAAAAAAGTTCAGTGCAGCAAAATAAAAAGAAACTGTATTTTCACACACACAAAAAAGTTTATGAGTATAGGCAGCTCCCCATTTGCACCGGGGTCATTGCTTGCATCAGTGGTCGCACATAAGCCCGTTCTGCCCCCGCCCTGTTCTGCCCTGTTTCGCCCCCTTCCAGGGCCAAAAAACAACATGCATGTCAGCAGTCACGTGCAAAATGGTTGCTGCCTGTGTAACAAATTAAAAGCAATTAATTTAAAATCCTGTTAAATGCAGCAGCAGAACTAAACCTTAAAAGCCTGTGAAAACAAAAACAGTTTCACTTTGTATCTAAAATATATCAAAGAGCAAACCTGTGCTGAATCTTCGACAGGGAAGGTATTTCAATGCTTTGGCACTATTATCTTGAAAGCCCTGCAGCTAATCCAGTTGACCATGTGTAATATTGAAGATACTGAAATGAGACAAAACTCATGCGTAAATTAAGCAATATTAATACAGGTACAGGTATAGAGTTTTAAACAGTTTTAAGCAATTCTGTTCTTGCTTGGATTATGTTCTCTGCATATTTCGTTCTCTGCATATTTGCTAGTCAAATCTTTATAACATTTTCTTAAAATAAGTGACTAGAACTCTGCAATGCAAATAGGACTCAGTGCTTTCAATAAAGCTTATTCCCACGTAAAGTTGTAGAGGGTGATAACCTAAGAGATATATAAGATATTTGAACAAACCCCCCCCCCAAACTTGGCTAAAATTTAAAGACACCCATTTCGTAAGACCATATTTGTAAAGCATTAAAATGATGGCACTGTGCACATTGGTAGCAGACAGTATGAACGATCCAGTATCTCAGCAGTGATATTTTGTAGAGGAGTTGAGGCCTAACTGAGGTTCCAACGCTGTCAAGGCTTGGCAATAGCTTGGTGCTGGATGGAAGTCTGGCAGCGTTGAGGGAGTTTCAGTTGGTGATGTGCTATACTCGAATTGGCAGAACCACAGAATTATATTAGACGGTACTTGGTGCGGAAAATCTGGCTGCAAGTGTGCAGTTTAAATTCAAAGCAGAAATTAGGCCAGAGAAGAAAGGATGGAAGAAAACCAAATGGACAGGAGGCGGTAGCGGGAACACCCACTCTGTGTTCCTGATAGGCTCAAAAAAACACTTTCTCAAATCCCACATTGCAGCATATGTGTGTCTGCACTAGGTGGGGGTTGGAGAGAAAGAAGCAAGAAGGAAAAATACATGTTTTTTGTGGCTCACTTGAAAAATGCAGCAGGCCATCTCTGTACAGGTTGATAGGGAATAAATTCTGCTGCACATAATATTGATGATAAATACTGGAAGTATATTCATATTATCAATTCCATGTTTTTAAGAGTCCAGTTTAAAGGTTTTTAGAAACTTATAATTAGAATATACATGATTTTAGATATGGTATTAGCTTCATCACTCCATTATTTTTACATTTATGGAATTAATATGACATATAACTAAAAAAAAATAGTCAAGGTCTTTTACAAGAAAAGAAATGTAGTTGTAAAATCACAGCTAACACTTGAGAGATATAGTAAAATACTAAATCTAGTGTGTTTTTCTGGGGGGACTCAGGATTTGTACTTTTGTCCATACTGTATTTATTTTCCCCGATTTGAACTATAAAATGGTGGTTTTCTTGAGTCAAAATGAGAGTACCCCTAAACATTTTTTTAGAAAAAAAGCACTGACTAATCAAGGCATTGAGCAATGCAATATGAAAAAAACAAAACTTTTCAACTACCAGGGAAAGCCTGAAGGAAAGCCTGAATAGAGTGGCTTTAAAAAAAACCAACTTCATTAAGCTTTACCTTGAGCTATACACTTGTGGAAATCTAGTGAAATTTTAGTGCTCATTTATGTGTTAATTGCTTCCAGAAGAAAAAACAACAACACATCTATTTGCAACCCTGTAAACAGGGGAAAGGGGATGCGGGTGGCGCTGTGAGTTAAACAACAGAGCATAGGACTTGCCTATCAGAAGGTCGGTGGTTTGAATCCCCGTGACGGGGTGAGCTCCCGTTGCTCGGTCCCTGCTCCTGCCAACCTAGCAGTTCGAAAGCACATCAAAGTGCAAGTAGATAAATAGGTACCGCTCCGGCAGGAAGGTCAACGGCGTTTCCGTGTGCTGCTCTGGTTTGCCAGAAGCAGCTTAGTCATGCTGGCCACATGACGCAGAAGCTGTACGCCGGCTCCCTCGGCCAATAAAGCGAGATGAGCGCCACAACCCCAGAGTCGGCCACTACTGGACCTAATGGTCAGGGGTCCCTTTACCTTTAAACAGGGGAAATCACAGGAGGCTTCTGCTGTAATTTCCCTAGAGTTTTCATGCATCATGTCATGTGACGAAATTTAAGGCAGTATTCCAGCATATGCAGTTCTTTCCTGCCATTTTCATGAGTGAATCAAGGGGGAACAGAAACATGCATGTACATAAACAGTGGCAATATGTCATAGAATCATAGAATCATAGAGTTGGAAGAGACCACAAGGGCCATCGAGTCCAACCCCCTGCCAAGCAGGAAACACCATCAGAGCACTCCTGATATATGGTTGTCATGCCTCTGCTTAAAGACCTCCAAAGAAGGAGACTCCACCACACTCCTTGGCAGCAAATTCCACTGTTGAACAGCTCTTGCTGTCAGGAAGTTCTTCCTAATGTTTAGGTGGAATCTTCTTTCTTGTAGTTTAGATCCATTGCTCTGTGTCCTCTTCTCTGGAGCAGCAGAAAACAACCTTTCTCCCTCCTCTATGTGACATCCTTTTATATATTTGAACATGGCTATCATATCACCCCTTAACCTCCTCTTCTCCAGGCTAAACATGCCCAGCTCCCTTAGCCGTTCCTCATAAGGCATCGTTTCCAGGCCTTTGACCATTTTGGTTGCCCTCCTCTGGACACGTTCCAGTTTGTCAGTGTCCTTCTTGAACTGTGGTGCCCAGAACTGGACACAGTACTCCAGGTGAGGTCTGACCAGAGCAGAATACAGTGGCACTATTACTTCCCTTGATCTAGATGCTATACTCCTATTGATGCAGCCCAGAATTGCATTGGCTTTTTAGCTGTCGCGTCACACTGTTGGCTCATGTCAAGTTTGTGGTCAACCAAGACTCCTAGATCCTTTTCACATGTACTGCTCTCAAGCCAGGTATCACCCATCTTGTATTTGTGCCTCTCATTTTTTTGCCCAAGTGCAATACTTTACATTTCTCCCTGTTCAAATTCATCTTGTTTGTTTTTGCCCAGTTCTCTAATCTGTCAAGGTCGTTTTGAAGTGTGATCCTGTCCTCTGGGGTGTTAGCCACACCTCCCAGTTTGGTGTCATCTGCAAATTTGATCAGGATGCCCTTGAGTCCATCATCCAAGTCGTTGATAAAGATGTTGAATAAGACCGGGCCCAAGACAGAACCCTGTGGCACCCCACTAGTCACTCTTCTCCAGGATGAAGAGGAACCATTGATGAGCACCCTTTGGGTTCGGTCAGTCAGCCAGTTACAAATCCACTGAGTGGTAGCATAGTCAAGACCGCATTTTACCAGCTTCTTTACAAGAATATCATGGGGCACCTTGTCAAATGCCTTGCTGAAATCAAGGTAGGCTACATCCACTGCGTTCCCTTCATCTACCAGGCTTGTAATTCTGTCAAAAAGGAGATCAGGTTAGTCTGACATGACTTATTTTTCAGAAATCCATGCTGACTATTGGGGATCACAGCATTCCTTTCTAGGTGCTCACAGACTGTTTGCTTAATGATCTGCTCCAGAATCTTCCCTGGTATTGATGTCAGACTGACTGGGCGGTAATTATTTGGGTCCTCTCTTTTCCCCTTTTTGAAAATAGGGACGACATTTGCCCTCCTCCAGTCTGCCGGGACTTCGCCTGTTCTCCAGGAATTCTCAAAGATGACTGCCAGTGGTTCTGAGATCACATCTGCCAGTTCTTTTAATACTCTTGGATGCAGTTCATCTGGCCCTGGAGATTTGAATACATCTAAACTAGCCAAGTATTCTTGTACTATCTCCTTAGTTATTTTGGGCTGTGTTTCCTCTGCTGAATCATTTGCTCCAAATTCTTCAGGTCAGGCATTGTTTTCTTTATCGGAGAAGACTGAGGCAAAGAAGGCATTGAGGAGTTCAGCCCTTTCTGTGTCCCCTGTTTGCATTTCACCATCTTCTCCTCTGAGTGACCCCACTGTTTCTTTGTTCTTCCTTTTGCTATGAACATACCCATAAAAGCCTTTTTGTTGCTTTTAACCTCTCTAGCAAGCCTGAGTTCATTCTGTGCTTTAGCTTTTCTGACTTTGTGTCTACACGTGCTGGCTATTTGTTTGAATTCCTCTTTGGTGGTTTCCCCCCTTTTCCATTTTTTGTACACATCCTTTTTAATCTTAACTCAGTTAAAAGTTCTTTAGATAGCCACCCTGGCTTCTTTAGGCACCTTCCATGTTTCCGTCTCATTGGTATTGCCTGAAGTTGTGCTTTTACTATCTCCCTCTTAACAAACTCCCAGCCATCATGAACTCCCTTTCCTTTTAGTATTACTGTCCATGGGATCTCACCCAGCACTTCCCTAAGTTTTATGAAGTCGGCTTTCTTAAAGTCAATGTAGATGTCCAGTGGCATCTACTGTTGTGTCACACCATGTCCATTGTTAGGAATTAATTTTAGGATGACATGGCGGTATATTGATCAAAGAGTCACAGTTCCATAATGCAGTATGACAGAAATGTTAGAAACCAGGACAAGAAGCACTAGCATTATAACCAAGAAAACTAATGCAACAATTCCCATGTCTGAATGTACCCTTAATGTCTTGGATTAGTTCCAATACTCATGATATCCATGTGACACTTTCTTATTTTCCTCTTTGGGTCAGCTGGAAACTCTAATAGTCAAATGGTGTGATCCTGTAGAGTCACATTAACAAAGACAGCCCTTATCACAAAGTGAAACAACTGATTTATAAACAAGTATTTAAGATTTAAGAAAGAATATAAGGAAGAACCTTATATTCTTTCTTAAATCAAAATGACATGACCGCAGGAACTAAATTAAGAAGAAAAAGGACTTGTATTCATTTTCCACCACTGGGAAACTTGGCCCGAGAAGCATGTGACAAAATGGTGTGGCACAGAGACCAAGAGTCTCCAGCCAAGCCCTAAAAATGGAAGCCATCATGTCCCAGTTTCACCCAGTGGCTTTACTCCACCTTAAATTTTATTATATATTAAAGCATGACCGAGAATGGAGCTTTTGGTCTCAGGGCTCAAATGGAAATAACATCATACAGCAGTTCTATTACTTATTGAATGGTAACTCAACTAAATCAGCTCATTGTCCTTTATGTTCTCTGTACTTTTAGCTGGAGTCTTGCAAGTTCTTAGAGATGTACAACTGAGCAGTTTTTCAACCATATTATAAGCAGGTTAAAGTTCCATTATGTCATTTGTAAGTGTGAAAAATAATAAAATAAAACCATTTCTAAAACTGGAAGTGCACAAAGTGTCTGTGATTAAAATCAGATGCTACAGACGTAATGGAAGTGGTGTGTGTGTGTGTGCTGGAAGAGTTAGACAAGCTATTCCTGGTTTTTAGAACAGGAGCTCAGAGCAGAAAACGTAAAGAGCTGTGGAAAATGCAGGGCTGGTGATAAAGAATGAACCTTAGATTTGTCCTTGCCTTGGACCTGATTGGAATTGTCCCCACTTACCTCTGAGCTTTCCTCCCATTGTAAATAGCAAGGCCGGGGTGGGACAATTCCAATCAGGACTGCAAGAGCGACAAAAGGGTTGAAGTCCCCTGCCCAGTACCTCTACTCCATGTCCCTTCCCCACGCTTGCTATTGAATTAAAAAAGCAGGTATGCACTGCCAAGTAGGTGATAAACTTCATATCTAGTTTGGTTCTTACACATTCTCTTTTCAGCATTACTATAGATCATTCATTGCAACACAATATCTTGATTTTCCCCCCATAAGGAATTTATGTTAATGACCTATGTTAGAGGGATAATACAAGAAGCATTTTTTTTCACTGCAAAATACTTTGCAGACTGAAAAAGATTTACTTACTTACCTAATTACTGTTGGTGCATGTGATAGTTTGCTCTCGTTGTTTAGTCCTGATAGTCTGAAAAAAGACGCTATTTTTATTTTTAGAAATGGTCTCATCGTGGAAACTCGCATCTAAAAATGGTATAAACTACTCTTTGCATCCCACCTGAGAAATTTCAGCACTGAGCTCATGAGGAGGCCATTTCTGTATGAATTTTGCTTTCAGTGACCAGGAGTGGAGACATAAAAAGGCTATTCACCATCTCTGGTTAAAGAGATAAGTGAAAGAGTCATTGGCATTAACTCTGTAGTAATAGCAGCAATAAGTACTAGGTCTGATTTAAATCTCTTGATAGTGATACTCGGAGGCTGGAATATTTATCACACCATTAGGAGAGGCTGTGCTCAGCTGATAAGATGTCTACATCCGATGAAGTCCACCTGAGGACTGATGATGCTGGGAGAGATTTATTGCCATCCATGGCAGATAGGCGAGTGCACTGCCCTTAAGAGAGTTGGTGCCATTCATCTGACAAATTATACAATCAGCCGCCTGGGGCAAGCTTGTGGGATCTTTAATAGCTACAGAAGGTGAATACACACAAGTGTGTGTGTATATGTTTCTGGTTGGATAACCAGTCAGGAAAGCAACAATTTTGCTGAGTATCAGGCAGAGAAGAGTGAGAAAGAGTAAAATGGGAGAACAAATTAATTCCATGGGTTATTTATCTGTGTATTTCCTTCCTAGGCCAGATGTGTGCTATAGAAATGAAGTCATCCAATTCTCCTTACTGCTATCAAATGACAGAAAATCCAGGCGTTCTGACTGCTGGGAGGGAGACAATATATTGTATGATGATCAGATGTAAGAAAATTAGTTTTCTCTGACCTCACCATTTCCTCCCTTTCACCTGAAGCCTTTTTTCACTTTATGGGTCAGGTCTAGTGTGCTCCCTTTGCTGTTAGAAAAGAAACCTGAAACCTGTTCTCTTTAAAACCCCTGGATAGTTATGAGATTGTTTTAAAAACCATTAGATATCAAGTTCTAGGCACCATCCTTCCCAAGTTTTAGGCACCAGGTCAAAACATTTTTATTTCAGAAACCCTTTGGGCCATGAATGCTGTTTGAATGCTCTTTTCTCTTATGTTTTAATTTGTGCATTTAATTCTGTAATTTTTATTTTTATTGTTTCTGTAAGCCACTTTGGAGGACGAAGGCGCTGTGGTCTAAACCACTGAGCCTCTTGGGCTTGCCAGTCAGAAGGTTGGTGGTTCGAATCCCCATGACGGAGTGAGCTCCCGTTGCTTGGTCCCAGCTCCTGCCAACCTAGCAGTTCGAAAGCACACCAAAAAGTGCAAGTAGATAAACAGGTACCGCTCCAGCGGGAAGGTAAATGGCATTTCGTGTGCTGCTCTGGTTTCGGTGTTCCGTTGCACCAGAAGCGGCTTAGTCATGCTGGCCACATGACCCAGAAAAACGCCGGCTCCTTTGCCTTGTAAAGCGAGATGAGCACCGCAACCCCAGAGTCGTCTGCGACTGGACTTTACTGTCAGGGGTCCTTTAACTTTTTTAAGCCACTTTGAGACATGTGGTGAAATTGGGATATAAGTTTTTTAAACATATAAATGTGTATTTATTCTACCCCCATATATTGTCTGAAATTCACCTGGCATAGTTCATAGGAATGAAAAAAGCTGAATGGGCTGCATTGAGAACTGTGTGCTATTATCTGGTGCCATAATTGGAAAGCAGTTTTTGAACCACTGGGATACAAGCTAAATGAATATGAGTGATCTAGAAGAGGAGATAACAAAGAACCTGCAGAGTTGCATTAATAGTACAGTGATATAATTCAGCACTGCCTGGATTGGCTACTTACCCCTAGGCAATGCTTGCCTGGCCATTTTCCCAGTACTGGCCCAGCTGATTATTATTTTCCCCTTGTCCTCCTTATAGAAAACCAGCTTCAGTTCAGGTATCACATTCTAGGATGGAACTCCCACAGCTCATGTAGTTCAGCCACTTGCCCTGCAGCAGGCTGCTTAACAACACCAAACACAATTTTATCTGCATCTTTTAAAAAACAAAGTGGCCCACATAAACAGATTCTTGGAAGTGGCCCACATAAACAGATTCTTGGAAGTAGCTGCATTCAAAAGGGCCTTCTGTACATTAGAAAGAGGAATAGATCAAAATGATTCAAGAGCATAAAGATTTGGGGAAGTATATTTTTTTATCGTCCGAAAGGCAAGAAGCAGCCCCAGCAAAGTAAACCATAGAAGGTAGAAGAGATGTTAATGTTTTGTTTTAATGTACCATGACGTTTTAACATTACTCTGGGTGCTTCTAAGCAGGAGCTTAACATTCCCAATGCACATCCAGATATTGAAAATGTGTCATTGGCAACAAGTCTTTTATGACTCATCAGATTTTCCCTTGAAAGGGTAAATCTGGATTAAATGAGGGCGGGGGGGAATACAGGCTGGCATTTTGAAGCTGACAATGTGTAGATGTTACAAAAAAGCTTGCATGCATGATCAACACTCATTGGGGGCAGAGCATATGGGACAAGTGCACATGGCAGTGTTGGGGTAAAGGCAGTATGCACAACCACTGTGCCTCCTTCTCTCCCTCCTCCACTTTGGGGCATAATGTTCAACATTAATGTAATTTATAAGGGTCTTTCATTAATGGAGCTTTCTGTTATTCTCCTTGACTATGCTGCTCTTATATATTTATTGTGTTAAATGATTTGAGTTTTGTTTTCTTTATAGTTTTCATACCATGGGGTGCTGTGAAAGTCTGAAAGGAAATTCCAGGCTCTGCTCTGTGTTCTGGTGCCAAAGGTAACATGAGTATAAAATAGGGCCTTCTCTGTGGTAGTATCCTCTCAAGAGGTGTTCAACTGGCCCCTCTGTTTTTGGGTGAACAGTCAAGACTATTTCCCCCCCCCCCCAAGCTTTTAATGGTCCTTAACTGTATGTCAACATTGCTGGGTTTTGTTTGTTTATTTTTAAAGTGATTTTATGGTTCTCAGTTTTCACCGCATGAGGGTTGTATTTTTATTGTTGTGAACCACCGGGTGCAAAAGGTAGTTTTAAATTGTTTCTATAAATCAATAAAATCTCTGTAGTACAGGATAGGGAAACCTGTGGCCCCTACATTAAAGTTGAACATTATGCCCAAACCCGTGTTGGACTGCAACTCATACTGGCTGGGCCTAGTGGAAAGTGGGAGTCAAACAAAATCTGTCTAATGATGCCGAGTCTAGGAGAGACAAAGATCTCTTCAGCCATGTAAGTCACTGAGTGACCTTGGCTCAGTCATTCAAAGTCACCAGGGCTGCTATGAGGATAAAACGCAGAGCAGAAGAACCGTGCATGCCATCTTTAGCTCTTTGGTGTAACAGGGGGATAAAAATGTACTAACAAATAAATGATGAGTAGGACACTAACCGTTAAAAAAAATATCAAGCAAATACGGATTTGTGCCTTGGGCATGCAAAACCAGTACATACTGTTTAATGTTTTATAACATAAGTAAAGGTAAAGGGACCCCTGACCATTAGGTCCAGTCGTGACCGACTCTGGGGTTGCGGCGCTCATCTCGCTTTATTGGCCGAGGGAGCCGGTGTACAGCTTCCGGGTCATGTGGCCAGCATGACTAAGCCGCTTCTGGCAAACCAGAGCAGCGCACAGAAACGCCATTTACCTTCCCGCCAGAGCGGTTCCTATTTATCTATTTGCACTTGATGTGCTTTTGAACTGCTAGGTTGGCAGGAGCAGGGACCGAGCAACGGGAGCTCACCCCATCAGGGGGATTCGAACTGCCGACCTTCTGATCGGCAAGTCCTAGGCTCTGTGGTTTAACCCACAGTGCCACCCGCGTTATGTTTATAACATAGCTGGCCAGAAATAACCAAATGTGACCTGGAACACAGGAGTCCCAAGCCAGGTCTTTTCTGAGGCCTAGTGTCAAAACACAGTACTCTTGAGTGGCTGTTGGGGTCCCATTGCCCTGGAAGGGCGCACTAAACTTTACATCTGCCCTGGGTCTCTATGCCAAGAGCTGCTATTTAAATGTCTCAGAGTCTCTTTGAGCAACAATACATCGGGCACTCTGAGGCATTGTGGGAAATTTAACAAGATTGTTCATAATTTCCTGCTGCTGTTCCTGCTGGTTAAGCTTTCAACTAGGGACTCACCAGAAACAGGAAGTGGCTCTCTTAAAATTCCTCACTCTGGAGAAGTCATGCTGAAGCCTAGCATAAGCTTTTAAAGCTGCAGCCTTAATTAAAAAATGGTTGTTTTTATTAAAAACAAGGCAGAATAGATGATATCCTTCAACCTTCATTTGACTCAGGTAACAGAACAAAGGCCCAGGCCTTGCCAAATCAATAAGCCTTTCCTACATAAGTAGCATTTGTTTACCTCAGCACAGACAAAAATCATTTGCTTTGTGCTTCTCAAAGATGGGAAAGGGCAGCTGTAAATTTTAACCTCCAAAACTCAAGTCTTGTGGTGTATCAGTTATCACAAAAGGTCAGAGCAAGAAAATATGAGTTTCCATGGAGTTCCTAATTCCTTTGTTCTTTAGATGCAAAATATTGGAAGTTTGATGGGGAAATGCCACATTTTCTCTGGGGCTTGCAAAGAGAACTGCAGTAGCTGGAGATAAAATATTAAGCAGCACACGTTTGCTAGGACATTAACAACGAATCCACAGGTAATGAATTTTGCTGTAGGCTGTTTTCCTACTGTTGTTTTCTTTTTCCATTCAGATCACGGTTCTCAGTAATTAAGTTTCCCTGTTTGGGATTACGGCACATATACAGTGGTCCAAAAGCTTTGGAGCATGCTTAACTGAGCCAGTAACACAGACCTTGAGGCAACAAACCCTCTGTTGCAAGCAGAGGGGGAAAAAACAACAAACACACAGCTGTCTAGACTCACTGACTGCTTCAGTGAGAAAATTTCATTCTGCAGTTTCCCTGCACAGATATAATCATTTGCCTCGCATTACTTATTAGCTCCAGACAAAGAAAATAAGGTATATATTTGGAAATTTGTAATATTTTGAAAATCAGTAACTTTTCAGCACTACAAGGGTTGGCATTTGGTGGAGTGCTTTTAATATAGGGCGAACATTGAACACTTGGTGGTTGCACACTAAATATAAAGTAAGTTTTTAGCTGAGCAGGGGGGAAATCACATAAATGCTTCAGCATATGGAACAGCTCAACTCTCATCTCGCCACACTGGTTTGGGTATGTGGAATGACCCATAGTAAATAATAGGTTTCTGAAGTTTTTTTCCTGTATCTGAGCCTACCAATATGTTTACTGTCTTCCTGTGCCACCGTTTCGACACTCCTCTGCTTTGCTCCTGCCTGCCCATAACCACTTCCTGCGCAAAGTCTGTCTGATTGTCTGTCTTGTAAGTCCTAGTCTTTTTCAAGTTTGGCTTCTGTTTCCAACAGTTTTATACAGTTCTTTTCAAGCACTGCGGATCTGTGCCAGCTACATGCATGGGTCTCCCTGCTTACTGTCAGGCAACTTTTTGTCAACACTTCTTTGTTTCAAAATGGCTGCAAGAAAGTAGACTCACAATTTGAAATGGGATTCTGAATTTGATTTTGAGACAAACTGTGGGTTAGCACGAACTATATTTTGCTCAATCTGCAAAAAACAAAGCAATAGGAAGTGACCGTCAGGAGCAACTTGGGATCTGTATGTAGCTGTTGAATGTGCTGAACTGAACTGCAGATGACAGTTTCTGAGTGAAGTAACCTCGAGCTGACTCTGTCCATTCAAGATGGCCGTTGGATTCTCCCTGGCAGGAATGAGTATAAGAGGGCTTTCCTTTCCTGTTGGGTCTTGCTTGCATAACATAGTCTTCCTGACTCCTGATGTGTTGTTGTACCCTTGGTTATGCTGGAAAGGTAATAGCCAAGATTATCCCATAATTTAAGGGTTAATTTTGTTAGTGTTAAGTCATCTAGCCAAGAGGGCAATGGGGTGGAGGTGTTATTTAGGAACCAGGCAGAGTGGTGTGGTGTTTGCTGAGGCAGTTTGTGCCCTGATTGGCTGCGTAGTACTAAGGGAGTTTTCCTCTGTAGGTTTGGTGACTGTCTCCCTGCTAAGAAAGACAAAACCTCACTTTTCCTTTCTCCTCAAATTATACACTCTGTTCAGGTTCCTCAATAAAGTGCTATTAGGATTTCTTTTCTCTCTGAGCTATGTGTTACTTAAGTGAATTTGCTAACAGGCTATTCTTCAGGCTTGACTTCTGGCTTGTTCCTCAGTCTCACTTTCTGGTTTGTCCAGCCCGTGGCCAAGTCCTGACAATGACAGAGGGAATTTAAGCACATGAGAGGAGGAAGAGAAGGAAGGAATACGTGAGCCTGAGAAATGGTGCCATTTATATAGTCCTCTTTATAATGTTTCCTTCTTTACATGCTTACTACTGCATGTTTCATTGGTCTAAATATGTTTCTTTTGAATATTCAGTTTTTTCTTTGATTAGTAAAGATTGATATCCAGAATTTCCTGATCTCAAAACTCTTCTTACAGTTTTACAGTCTCTGGACCAGTGACAGCATCCATTTACCCAGACTTCTCTTTTTCCTTTTGAGGTTTTAGATAGGACTCTAGTTACAGATCAGTAGAAAAGAAAGAAACCTTGGGTGAATGGATTATATGAAGATTAGAGACACAGGTGTAGTGGTAAATTTTGAAAACCAGGAACCTGCTGTTACGTAGCCGTCATAGTATTGCTCCAAAGGAGAATTTTAAGAAATGCAAACCAAATGGATTCTCATACTTGCTTTGAAACTTATTATCACTTTATTCTCTTGCCAGAATAAGGAGGGACCATAAATTTCACAGGCACTCTAGTGAATTATGTCATCACTTCTGATGTGAAAAATGTCCCACTGCACATTCCCCCAAATTCCCCTTCCACTACACCACTGATTGGAGGTGCTGTTGTATACTGTCTTGCAGTATGTACCACTGCAATGCTGTATGCTGTCCAGAACTCATAAAACTACTAAAACGTACCTGGAGTTGTATGTTTATATGCTGGAATTTATTTCTATTGATAACAGTTTATATACATGCTTCTTGTACAGTTTGCTTCAGTAAAAATGTTTATAATTCTGCTATCGCTGGGAGTGCCTATTTCCTCTAATTTGATTGCTGTTGAAATGTATCAAGGGGCAGCCCTTGCATCCCTGTGTGTTTGCAGTCCCATTTCAAAACCTGGCTGGCTGCCGTGGCAAATCTCCACTCTCATATATGTGTCCAGTTTTGTCCTGTTCTGGCTACAGTCTGGCTGAAATGGCATGAATGAGAGAGTTTGCACAATATTGTTCAGATGTGAGACAAAAAATTCAAAATTTTCAGCTTTTTTTTTTTTTAAAGCCAGGATGTTTTGGACTATGAATATTTTGCTTTTCAGCTTCCTGTCTATTGTAGAACTAATTTAACCATTTAGACACCCTTTGTGAGCGAATCAGTGAAGGCCAGGCGTGTCTCTATACATAATACTTATACACTGTGAGCGTCTTTCAGACTTTGTTTAGTGTGCCATTTCTTTCTGTCTGAGGAGCTATCTAGTTGGTGCATGACAGCTGTCTAATCTGCTTATGTAGCGAGGCTCAACCAGGTGAGGTAGACATGACAGTTCCTGTTGGGTGGATTAGAATGTCTGACATCAGGTCACTCTCTAAATTGAAAGTCTCTGCTAATACAGACAAGTACAGGGCAACCGAAAGCCCAGTAATCCCATGCCCCAGGCTGATGAAGGCTGAGCTAGTACCTCAGCTGCTGGTTTAACTCCTTCAGGCTCTTTGAAACAATGATTTTTTGCAGTTGGGGGAAGGAGGCCATTTGCTTCATTTGGTGTGGCAAACTGCACTCACTGAAGGGTGGTTGTTGTGTGGTTTGTCTGATTAAAGCTGGTTGTGCAAAACAGGATTTTCATCCCTTGGGAAATTTCAACCTTTCCTTATAAGTATTCAGCACTGTTGAAATGAAAACGTTAACCCCTTTCAAAAGAAGGAGAAATCTACTCTGGCTCAGTTTGGAAACGCTGAGTGGAGGTACAATTAAAAGACAAACAAAACACTTTGATCTCTGCCCCCGCCCCTGCCCCTCTGTTTGCAATTTGTTGGCAAATTATATCCCTGATTGCAGCTCCTCTAAGAACAAAATCCATAATGTAAATTCTAAGCTTCAGGTGCACAGTTAGGCATGTTTAATGGGCAATTATATGGAATTGGTGACTTTATCACAGTTGTGAAAATACCACAAGATTCTTTTGAGATTAACCTCAGTGAAATGTTGCTCACTCAGCATTGCAACAATGGTGTCTAAGTGTGTGCATATGTCTTTAGGCAAAGGATTCCTGGGGGTTGGACAAGATGACCCTTGCAGTCCCTTCCTGTGCTACAATTCTGTGATTCTCTCACAGCATAAACT